GCTGGATCTGGATCTAGGGCTGGATCTGGAGCTGGGGCTGGATCTGGATCGGAGGCTGGATCTGGGGCTGGATCTGGATCTGAGGCTGCGGCTGGAGGAGGACCGGAGCAGCTCCGGTGCTGGGGGGCTGCTGATGTGGTCTCTTTGTGTCTTTGTTTGTCAAGATCTTCTTCTGCTGTTTGGGAACCAGCCCTGGAAGACAAAGACCATGAAGGGTTTTGAGAACTCAAACACCGACAGCTTGGTTTTTTTTGGTTTGTTGTTGTGTGTTCAATGCTCACCATTTTCAGAGTCTTCACTCTCTGAGGAGTCACTGCTGCCCGAGGACGAAGATCCGGTCTTCATCTTTGTCATATTACTCAATTCCAGGGATTTCTCTGCAGAAACACAACAACGTTGAGAGGAAAGCATCAAATCTCTGTGACACAGGACGATAAGAACTGGTCTCCAGAAGAACACACACACACACACACACACACACCTGAGGGTTTCTTCTTCTTCTTGAGGCAGCTGGAGACGTACTTCTCCAGTTCCCTCAGCGTGGAAGGCTTCAGCGTCTCAAAGTCAATTTCTATCTCATCCGGGTTGGAGTTCTTCAGGGACGGCTCACGGGTTTGGATTATGTGCACCACGCGGCCCAGTTTGTCACCGGGCAACTTGTTGATGTCCAGGCTCAGCTGACGCTTCTCCTCGTACGACATGGGCTTACATCTCTCTGTGGACACGCCTCCAAAACCATCTGAACGACAAGGCAGACCCGTGGCTGCAGGGTTGGCTCAAGGGTGTCATCACAGAACACACAACACACTTTACACACACACTCACACACACTCACCCATGTCGTCCTCTGCCTCCAGGGAAGCCGACGGGACCAGAGGAGTGGGCCCCGGCTGGGGAGGCACGACCGGACGACTGACTTTTCCTCCTCCTTCTTTCTTACTGTAATTAAAAAGTCGTCCGTTTAATTTCATTTGAAAAAATGTAAAACTGTAGCAATTAAAAAACCTGAACAATAAATTAATTTAAAGTGTAAACAGTCACAGTAGGAGAGCCATATGAAAATCACAATAATAATAATAACATGAACATTAAAACATATAATACTGTAATATTTATAACAACAATAACAACAGTGTTTGAGAACCGCTGCCTTCTTTACAACGCCCACAGGAGGCGCCACCTGCTGTAAAGTCAGTCTCCTCTCCTCTGCAGACGTACCTGGCCTTTTTTCTCTCCTTCTTCCCAATGATGGACTCCTTGCTACTTTTGATTTTCTTGGGAGTCTGAAGTATCGCCGGGGGCAGGGTCTCCACCGCGTCCTCCACTTCCAGCTTCTTCTTGTGCTTCTCTTTCTTTTTCTCCTTCTCCTTCTCCTTCTTCTCCCGCTCTTTTTTCTTGGGCTTGCTCATCTGTGGCTGAGACAGAGCAGCCAGCTGTTCATGAACAGCTTTGAGCTGCAGGACAGAAGAGAACACGTGTCAACGGCTTTAAAAGAAAAAAACACAAACTGGGGCATTTGCTCGTCCTGGTTGAGGCAGTCACCCTAACTCCATCAAAACTGCAGTGCGTGGCCCACCCACCTGTGTTGTCTCATAAGCCCCTCCCCCTTCATTTTCCATCCTCTAACCTGTTCCTGTAACTCAGCCAATCGCTGCTGCCGTTCGTGCTCCGAGTCTCCTCCCGAGGACTCCGACTCCGACGAACTGGAGCTTTCATCTGCGGAGACAGTGGAAGGAGGCGGGGCTTGTCGAGAGGAGGGGGCTGGGTGCAGGGCGGACGACGGGGTGGGGACGGGGCTGGGTTCCTCTGGCTCATCGGGCATTTTAGCAAAACGCATTTCAAACACATCCTGGGAAGACGACAAGGTGAAAGAAGGGTTCATTATTAACCTGTAACCCTAAAAAAAGTTACTGAAGAGAAGTAACGGTTTATGAACTTTAACTTTATTAACACCAGCCTGTTGTTGAACTACAGCTCAGTGATATCAGTACTGACTCCTGGTGGTTGGTAAAGGTTTTACTACATGGAACCAGATTAGATAACACTATCACAGAGTGTTGTAATTTCCTTCATAAAGGAAAAAAAAATCAGTCGACAGTAACGAGTGAATTTCCAGTGTGACCATGTACTTTTAACTGTACAGTATTTGTAAACTCTTATCTGTGTTTATCTCATGTATATAGATAGTAGAAGCAGAAGATGTATAGATATATACATGTAGCATGCTAATAAGTACAACATACAACAAGCGCTAACTGACCTGCAAATTCCGTGCCATTGCCACGACATCGTGGTCTGGAGGATTGTACTTGTAGCAGTTGGAGAACATCAACCTGACGTCTGCCGCAAATTCTTGAGCGTCTCTGTACTGTTTGTTGTCCAGCTTTTTCTAACAGAAACAAATCAAAGACAAAAGGACAAAAATAATTATAAATTAAAAAAAATGAAAACCAACCCTCGTTGCCAGAGATTTCACACTAAGACAAAATTGTTGTGGTTAGGGCAAAGGTCACCTTAATAGTGCTGAGATCCATGGGGTGTTTGATGATGTCATGGTAGTCATGGAGACCGAGGGCTTTAGCGTCCACCGGTTTGTAGAACGGCCAGGCGTACCCCGCGTGTTTCTTGGACAGCATTTCTCTGAGGAGCCGCGCGCAGAAACGCAGCAGCTCCTGACGTTTGGGCGTCGCCGTCCCCAACGACTCCAGGCCTGTGACCAGGTGGTGCTGGGAGTCCGGCTGCGACCCCTCTTTCTTCAGTTGCTTGGACGGACGGTTACTGTCCCGACGCAGCCGCGTCTCCGCGGAGACAGGCGGTGATTCGCTGAGCTGGTCGTTGGCTGTGGGCGTGGTGGTGTCGGCTTTCCTTTTCTGGCTCTTCCTTTGCTGCGTGAACAAGAGACAAATGTGAGTTGTTTAACGACCTGTAAGAAGTCGACGACCGAGTCGATCCCTAACTGCAGTTTAATTTACAATGTTCGGCGCTACTTCCCCACCATCGTACCTTCACCAGAGCGGGCGAGCTTTGCAACATGGAGACAGGATGGAGGCCTGGATGTAACGGCGCTGGGAGAGGAACAGAGGTCATGCCCTGGGCCAGGACTTCAGGGGTTGAAAGGGAGAACTGGGTTCCCAGATGGGTGTGGGAGGTGGGCGTGGGAGGCACACGTGGGGGAGGCTGTGGCAGAGGGTGAGGGTGAGGCTGAAGTTGTGGTGGATACTGTGACTGAAGCTGAAGCTGAAGCTGCGGTGGAGGTTGCGCCTGAAGTTGCGGCTGAAGTTGCGCCTGAAGTTGTGCCTGAAGTTGCGCCTGAAGTTGCGGTGGAAGTTGCGGCTGAAGTTGTGGTGGAAGTTGCGGTGGAGGTTGCGGCTGTAGTTGCGGTGCAGGTTGGGGTGGAGGATGGGGCGGAGACTGGGCGACATGAGGAGGGGTCAAGTCTTGGCTCGAATCTGAATTTGTGATCACAGCTGAAAAGAAACAGCAAATACATTCATTCAGAAAAATACAACTTTAGTGTTTAACAAGAAAGTCCAGCAGAAAGAAAAACTTATTAATATTACACCAGAAAAGTTGAGAAGTTAATAAGAGCAGGAAACCAGTACAAAAAAAATCAGGCTGATTTAACCAGTTCAATACAATTAACTCATTGATTAAAAGTTGATTTAAATAATATGAGCTTTAAATAAATGTATAAATAACCTCCCTTTATATAAACAAAGACTGTGACCAAAGTACAGAGTACAAGTAAAATCACAACATCGTCCATACCTGCCTCCTTTCGAGGCCCACGTCGTCCCTTGGTGACCACAGTGATCTCAGTTTCTTCTTGCGGCATCTCCGTGATCTTGTGCAGGAAGAGCTTTTCTAAGGACTCTGCCATCAGGACGATATCATCCCCCGGCTGCAGGAGTGAAAACAGACGTGATGAGAAGACACCGACTTATTTACTCTCTCTCTCTGCTCCTTGATGGACCGCAGCTTCAGACGTTGCTGACCTTGTTGTAGATGTAGCAGTTAGTGAACATGGTGTTGAAGTCATGGATGCACTCCTGGGCGTTCCAATAGTAGTGGTTCTCCAAGCGCTTCTTTATTGTCCCCATGTCCATCGGCGTCTTGATGATTTTGTAGTAGTCCTTGATGAAGAACAGACGAGAGAGAGTTTAATTAGAAACTCTACAGTAAAAGAACCAAAAAACAAGAAGGAACAGAAAGTATGGTTTACCATCTGTAACAAAGCTAAAGGCACGAAACACAGTAAAATATAAAACTGAAGGAACAGAGACAGACTGTGCTGTGGACTGTAGTGTTGATGGCTACAAAAACAAAGAGAAAAAAAGAAGAAACAGAAACACATGAAGACTCACAGGCAAATTGAGTTTGATGGCATCTACCGGAGCTTGAAAGGGCCATGCAAAGTGGTGTTTCCACAATGTCTTTAACACCACTTTGAGCAGGTACTGAAATGAACACCAAGATGAAGTCAATCAAATTGAATTGAATCAAATTTGAAAAATATACAAAGAAAGTCCCAGGTGAAAACAGGAAGGCGGTTCTTTACATGTAGTTGGTTGGTCTGTCGTTTTGGTCTGGACGGGTTCCATGTCTCTGGTGCCGGGGGGTTGAAGGGGAGGGGGCGTGGGGCAGAGGGGGGGTTCTGGCTGCTGCCTGCCTGCAGTCCGTCTCCCATCGTCCACGCCGATTGCAGCGGTTGAGCAGACAGCTGAGGCACACTGGACCTGGCAGGGCCGGGTGAACCAGAGTGGAACCCCCTCAGGCCATTACTCCTCACTCCACTGGACTCTCTGGAAGTCCAAAAACATCTGATTGCTACGTGTTCACATTTCAAACATGTCATCGTGCCAACATTATCAAAGAGTCTTGTCAAAAAAAACATTTAGACTTGGCTCGAGAAGCAGCTCAATTCACCCCCTGTTATACTTCAATGGTATGTTATTTAATTGTTTCTGGGAGGAGCACCACCCTTCAGCTGTCACAACACATGTAATCCAACTGTGGGAAAAACTGTGCAATTGCTGTCGCAACCAACCCAACACAATTGTTTACGTGGAAGTCGCTTGTCATTATTGTTTTTAATTCTTTAAGAAACGTGGCGTCAGCTTCGGTAGCACTGCTACGTGTTAGCAAGACAACTTGGCACGACACGTCAACAGTTCCAAGAACTCTAATTATCCTGCTTCACCTTACTGGCCTTAAAGCTTACTGTAAAAGCAGATGACACGATAATAAAGTATTGATCAAATCTTAACCTAACCCCTGTTATTTAGGCATTTTACACGCAGTATATCATGAGT